ACCATGCAAAGTGAATTCAGCTTGAGAAATTATAATAAGAATCTTACGAAAAGGCTTTGACCCCTAAACATTTGGCAATGCCTTACTGTGTGTCGTTTTGTATCATTCAGAGTACAGTTAGTTTTAAAAATAAATAAACAAATTTGTTAAAACAGTACAGAAATATAAAAAATGATGACACAAAAAATATGGTTTCATGATACAACTTGGGCAATCTATACTTTATACAACACATGCACCATTTATTGTAGAGATCCAATTCCAAATATGATTATAAAATTTTCTCCAAAGTATGTATTACTACTTTCTTTTACTTTTGAAGTATTCATTAAGTAATACTTTCAACATCATTGTGATTTCTCTCTTATGATTTATACAAGATAAATATACAATCATATATCACTAGTTGCCTAAGGTTAGGGGTGAAAGCTTGTGTCAATTCATAGTCACTAAGGTGTATACAAAATCTAAGAAAAAAATAATCTAAATTATGAAAAGATAATACAGTACACCATAAATTTGGAAACAGTCACAGATTCTAAGCAAAGAGGAAAAAGAGATTTTGTATAACAAACTAGCTTTCTTTTTAAAATGTAGATAAATAATCATGCAATCTTGGTATTCAGTCACAAAATAGTAGAAATATTGTGTAATGTATGCACACATATGTGAATCTGTATGATCTAAAGGTTCTCATCAATGCGAATACTATTCAAAATATTAACCTTTTGTGCACAGTTGGTATCTTGTATGATGCCATGGCGGAGCTGGGCCTAAACTGCAGGTGGCAACCCTACAGATGCCATGACAGTCTGTGTGCGTGTGTCTGTATATTTGTACGTGTGTGTAGAACTTAGCCTCAGGGTATGTGATCAATGTGGGCATAGATTTTTTCCTATTCAGTATACTTCAGTACTTTTCAGTACATATTCTTTCCATTTGTCATATGTTGAATAGGAAATAATACACTTTATTGTTCATGCCACATGGCACACAAGTTGCAAATATGACGATTAGTGTTTGTGCAAGGGTGTGCATGGGCATATCACTTTCCAGTGATGTCAGACTGTATAAAAAGAGAAGTTATTGACTCCAGGATCAATTAGCCTAGGTTCTTGTGCTAAGCACATCAACAGGCATTTCTCACCATTGGCCTCAACTACTACAGCTCTGCTAGAGCTGCAGGTAAGCATTCATTTATTCTTCATCAAAGTGTGATTATTTTTAGCAGGTATAATATAAAATGACTGAAGTTTTTGCAGTCTTAGCAATCTGTGTGTGTGTGTGTATATATAGTATAATATATATATATATATATATATATATATATATATATATATATATATATATATATATATATATATATATATATAAATGTACTGGTCTTTCAGGTGTTCTTGGTTCTGTGCTACTTGAGTCTCCAAAGCCATGGCAGACCATGCACTGGTTCACAGATGAATATATTTAAATGCTCTTCTATAGCAATGCAATGCAGAGAGATTGCCACAAACAGATCTCATTGGTTTTGCACTTCGTGGACATCAACAACGAAGACCCCTTGTGGAAGATTCATCCTATAATCAACCAACTATAGGAGAGGTTTGCCTGTGTACTGACTCTGCTGCAAGACTGCTGTAGATGTAAATTTGTATAAAGTTAGGTAAACTGCATATTTTCCATATTGTGATTTGTCTTTTGATCTATGGTATGCAGCTATGACCTCCCCTTAAACTGAATTGTTAACTAACTATTTTCTCTTACACTGCATAGGCCAACTTGGGTTTGTCCAGGATAACCCAAGCAAACGTGTGAGGTTTGGACCTAAAATCTATACACTATGCATGTCTGACAGAGCTCTTGCTGAATACACATAAGCTTTCCAGCTGTCCACCGGGAAAGATAGTGGTGAGATGACTGCCTCACAGAAGGCTAACATGAGCCTTATAAATGCACTAAGTATTTTGGAGAAAGGGTATGAACTGTATCTTAACAATTTGTCCAATTCCCCCACATTATTTGACCTTCTGATGGTGCATAAGACATACACAGTTGGGATAGTAAGAGCCAACAGAAAGTTTATGCCATCAGACTTTCCCAATAGAGTCAAGTGCTATGAGCATTCCAACTGGCCTCCTGTGCTTGAAATGGAAGCATAAATTCACCATCCACATGCTCTGAATAATCTACACCAGTGCAAGCTGTGAGGGTTGGCTGGAATTGAGGTGCTGAGCAGAAACTGGTGGCAGTGCTTGACTACAACATTGGAATTAAGGGGGGTAATAAGGGGAACCACCTCTCCCAGTCATACCCTGTAGCCAGAGAGACACTAAAATGATATAAAAAGTTTTTTTTTTTTACCTTATAGAAATGGCGAGTCAACACCTTTTTGCTACATTTGTATGCTGGACATCCCATTTTGATAGAAATATAATTATTGTAATCCAAAATAAATAAAACTATATTCATACCAAATCAGGCCTTACTTAAAATGTTTGATGCTGAACCATTACATCATTCATCGACTTCAAAATTAAAAAGGAATCCATCTTTGATATTGGTGATAAAAAATGAAAATATGAAATCTTTCTAATTGTTCTTAATAATCTAAAATACATTATCCTTCCTCTTCCCGGATTTTTTAAGTTTTGGCTACAAAATGTACCCCGGCGCGGGTGGGTTAATAATCTAAAATACATTATCCTTCCTCTTGAATGTAAGTATGCCCCTGCATTACTTTCACTACCATTAACCCCTATGATCTGGATAACATGACCATCAAGTCATGAAAAATTTGGCTTGAGGGGCAGGTGACCTGAACGTTAAGTCATGTGAAAATCTGGCTGTGTTCCAAGGTGATGGGAACTTGCCGTTGTGAACGTTTCAGCTAAAGGCCAGGGTGAGGGGAATGACTCGTCACAGATGCACAGAGCTCTTGGAGGGAGATGACTCATTTGGCTTTTAGGCAGGGGCTTTCGCATTATTTCAATCAATAAACAAAATGCACCATCTGTAATCCATGAATGAAAGAGTGCCGACTCCAAAGAGTACACTATTTCCATGCTCAGGATCCTATTCCTTGCTGCCATGACTGGAAGTGCAGGATGTATTACAGAAAATTTAATTAGGATTATTTTTAAATGACACAAATAAAAAAATATTACTTATTATTATTATCATTGCAATGAGTTCTGGATTACCTAGAGAGATGATATGGAGTCTGTGCAAGGAAAAGTCTATTACCATCTGGATAAGGCAAATCAAATGACAAGAATAAACATTGGAAAATAGCAGAAAAGCTAAAAACACACGTAGAAAATGAGAAAATAATATTACAAAAGGGAGGCAGAGAGTCTTGTCACGTTACATAAATGTTTGTGTGCCTGGCCTACACGACGTACACTTGTCAGAGTGGCCGCTCAAATGAGCCTAATTACCATATTTTGGGCCATGTGATGGCATTAAAGTATTTGGATCCAATGGGTTAAGACAGAAAATCTAATACAAAGATCAATGTTTATCATTCAAACTATGGCTCATCAAGGACAACATTCATTTACATTTCATTAAATTTTTTCTTTTTTGCTGTTGACATTTGGATTTACTTTGGTATATAAAGACCTGGATACTGAGAGTTGTGGCCACTCAATCATATCTGTGAACTATAAATGTACATGATAAATATCTAATATTTACAAATATTTAATTTCATCTGATCATGTTGTGGCTCTTTGGTTTTTTTATAACACCACATTATGTATCTTTACAGAAATACATACAAAAATATACAAAGATAAGAACTTTCCATAACAAGTGAGTTTTTGCGAGGGAAAAAAAATCTGCCCATGTAGAAGAAACAGTTCCAATGGGAAGGTATAATCTTATCATAGAAGTAAAGATAAATGACACATTCTATTTTAAGAAGTGAAAAGGAAAAGTACAGAAAGATGCATCATGTACCCAATATCTTTCTTGAAGACTTACCACAGAATGGTAATACTTCCTTACCTCATTCACTAAGGGGTTAAAAATATTTGCTAATACTAGAATCATGTGACTGGCATACAGGGTATACATTCAATATGTGGAATTAAAAGTAATTGCTAGAACACTGCTAGTATTATACTTATCAATAAAATACTGTGCCAAGTTTTTTTTGGTATGACTACTCAACTCTCTAAACATCCTTAATGTACCTTACAGAGCAGTAGAATTGCATTAGCAGAAAAACAATGATTCCCAACATGCATGCAATAAATAGAGAATACCAGTAACAGCTTACTTCTATATACAGGGAAGAAGTTTTCCTAAAATAGAGTTGACAGTAACAAAGACATTAATAAAAAAAACTTTGGATCCAATATTCTTCCTGAGTGGATTCTCCTTCTATGAAATATCAAACAGGAATGAACTTTAGTATGAGCAAAGATATTCCTTGATAATGCTACTATCACATTCACATGTGAATACAAATAATGAACTATGTAAAACATACATATATATAAACTATATATATATATATATATATATATATATATATATATATATATATATATATACATACACATATATATATAAACAAATACATATATACATACACACACACACAAACACACACACACATACATACAAGCATACATACACACACTTATGTAAAGGACAAATATACAACATTGATTATATGTTACTTCCACTCTGATATATTAGTTCTCGTCTTATAATTTAAGTCTGGTCAGCAAGCATGAACTAAGGTTTTACTTGCTCTAATTAAAGAACATCTGGGTTTTCCATTTTCTAGTTATTTTCTTAAAGGATACGCTAATGCAGATCTGGGTTTGCTTTTATGAAAAAAATATTTTAAACCCTAGCCGACGGGTGGCATGTACGTAAATGCCATGGCTGTTGTGGACCGAAAGACGGGTGGCATTGTGTCATGCCCATTCCCGCGCCTCTGGCTCATCGGACGGAGTTTGTTTTTTCCCGATAGTAGCGGCTTCATTTATATGGTAAAGATTTTAGGCAATGGCACCTATAATAAAGGTAAACCTTCAAAATTTTTATATCTTTATAAATTATAGCAAAATAAAAGCTTTTAGGTGCTAAATGTTGCTCGCAAACTACCGATTGAGCCGGGCGCAAACAGGGGAAACTGCCAATGTGCGCCAACAAGCCCGTCCATACGTCCACTTGCCAAACATTTTTACCCGTCGGCACTGGGTTTAAGAGTGTTGCAAAATAAGTCTGGAAAGACATGGTTCCACTAGCTTTTCCTCTCTCTGGAACCAGACTGAAGTTGAGGATCATCCTAGCATACTAATTTTGGAGGCCAGACCTACAGTATTCTTTGCTCAGATTCTGGCTACTGTTTACAAGCAATATTGATTTATTTCCATGATTGTCCTAAAAATGAATTGCACATCATTACGCAATTGTATCACCATTAAATACATGTTGAAGGCAGTCTGGAAGCATTGGAATGCAACATGAATGGTTTGGAAGCTAGAGATGGCTCAGGGACCAGACCTGGGTCTGACTAGTTCAACCTGGGCTGATTTGGCAAAGTTGATCTAAAAGCTTTGAGTTTATAATGAGTACATACTGCAGTGCATATTGGCATTGAGTACAAAACAGACACCAACATCATAAACCTTGGGGCCACATAAATTGGAATGAACAGATCAAAACTAACTACACATAAAGTAACTGTCAGCGAATCTTCTGAAAATGTTTGGATAGTACATGCATGATACACATGCTTATACTGATCACAACTACTATCATCACAATCCATCATCTTAAGGGAACAGGCTGGAAAACTGAAATTCTTGAACAATACCCTCAAACCTAACAACAAATATGAAAACATATAATCAACTGAAAGGAACCGAAAGCAGAATAATGAATTTCTTTCCCTACATGTAACATCATGCAAGGGTGAAACAGTAAAGAAGATGCTACTTTCACTTCTCAAAAGTATAATGAACATAAACACCCATCTCTTATATACGTACAACATGACTTACATTTTAAATCCAAGAAACGGAAAAGTAGATTTACTTTTCAGTTTGCTTGCAGTTATACTACTTTCAGAAAAAGACCTGTTAAGCAAGAAGAACACTTCAGTTCAACTTTTTATTTTAACTGATTTAGAGTATATATAGGATAGCCGAATAAAAGACTGAAAAACATAGTACATTTCCATTAAACAGATAAATTAGTTCAAACTGACTGTTATAGTAATGTGTTTCTTTTCATACATCTCACATATTGTACTGTTTTTAAATAAGGGGAATGCCATATGAAGAATACCATTCCATAGATCCTAACACATGAGCATAAAAAAAAAAAAAAAAAAAAAAAAAAAAAAAAAAAAAAAAAAAAACTGAATTACAAAGATATACAGAGATTTTATTTTGATTAAAATCTTCACTGCCAGTCACTTCAACTTACTGCACAAAGCTAATCTAAGTGATAAGAGAAAAGAGCAAGTCAGAAGGTGGCACAGAAAAACTAGCTACAGTGACTTTAGTACTATAAATCATACAGAAAAAGCTTGTCAGCAGTCTTAGGGAGAACTCTAATAGGAAGGAGTGGGGGAGACGTGATGGTCTGTTTACACACACAAAAACTGAAAACCAAAAACAGACACAGACACAGACACAGACACAGACACAGAAACACACACACACACACACACATACACACACACACACACACACAGTAAAAATACTTGTGTAGAGGCATGATTTATCTACATTTGCAATTGGGTAAAAACTCTAATGCTGATCACGTCAAGATCAACTAACTTTAATCACGATAAGGTTTATTAGACAATACTCTCATCTTATTTAGCATACATTATAGGAATTTGCACACGGCCAGAGTGTATTAGATGAAATTGGGTAAAGTCATAAATATAACCAACTTTAAATCAAATATGGTTATAAAGTTTAATTTTCTACATAGCCAATCTTCAATAATGTGTTTCAGCTTGAAGTTCCACAGAGAGGAACTAAAGCAATTCTTTCTTGGGCAAATCCCTAGGAAATCTGCCAAAAAGATTAAATGCTTTGCTCTGTTACAGCTGATCAACTATTACTGTATTAAGCACTAAATTCTCCCTCTTCATGGCAATACCAGCATTGTCATCACAATATAGGTTAGGCTTTGCTTAATTTTTACCCATGGCAGCATAACAGTAGGCTCTCCAATGCAATCTAAGAACGCCCTGTATATACAAATGTTAATCCTCAAAGGACAAGGACAAGGTACTTAAAACTTTTATGCCTTTATGAAGTGGTATGTATGGATACTTAGGAACAGATAAATCTATAAGGACTGTTTAGTGGGGAAAAAAATAAATTATAAAGAAATCAAATAAAAAAATAATCTACGAGCACACTATCAAGATAACAGTGTCGCCCCTTTCTTCTGATCAAAAGTTCAAAATATTAGTAACTACCCAGAATGGAAAAAAAAAAAAAAAAAATTATCATTACAATAATCAACATTACAATTATCACTGAGGCAATTAATGACTCATTTGTAAAATACAAGGTGGAAATTCATATGAATGAAAATTCAACGTCAAATTCTTCCATAACCGTAACAAGCCTGCTTCTGTTATAGAAGACTATTTGGCAAATATAAAGAGACAAGCAATGAATACCTCAGCATTGTATCTTCTACATGTGATTAACTAAGCAAGAGTGTGGGAAGAGTGTGAAAAATTTTCAGAGATATTGTGGTCTGACAAAACTCTTAACAGAAATACTATGAATAGTAACACATTTTAGTAACAGCACTGGTAGTCTTATTTCTTACCTGTCAGCAAATTCTTTCAGAATTTCTTCATCAATTCCAAAAGGTGTGTCACAGCAATATCGATTTTCCTTTGTACCACAACAATACTCATTACGTGAGCCTTCTTTCTGGGGACAGGTCATATACTCCGTTTGACCAAATAACCCCTCCCTGCTGCATGTCATAGCCGAGGCTGCAAAACACAAATATAAAATAACAGCTATGATCATACACAATTGAGAATAATTTCAGATTCTATATTTCTTTGTAAACTATAGCAATCCAAAAAGTTTTCATCCTATTTCTTTATTTACATCTTTTAAAGCATACCACATTGATTCAGGAAATTTCATTCCTATACAAAAGGCTTTACTTTCTTCTTTACTAAAGTCTTAGACATTCAAAGACAATATCTTCTGACTTTTATATCTCAACTACCAAATACACACAGCGAAGTGATTGCTATTATCTACCAGTGAACTCTCTGCAACATAGTCATCCTGTGTCATCTGCCCTCTTTGAAGACTATGATAATAATGATTTCCCCGTTCTGGATTAACTGCTTTCTTCGTATATCAGAACAAGGTAAGCTAATCATATCAATTCCTAACATACAAATATACATATCAATGTGACAAAGTTATGAAAGAAAAGGAAAAAAAATTATAGAACAATTATAACTTGTGCTCTATACAGTTAATTTTCCTTCAAACCTTTTGATAAATAAAACAACATTTCTATTAGCATTACTAATTACATGGTGTCACATGGAATAACAATGATAATCTACTGAAATCCAAGAAATTAAGATATAAAGCATAATATCTAGTCTTTATTATTTTATATAAATTATCTCTTGGTTATCAGACTTTTGAAGAAATATATAAAAGAATTATGAAAAAAAAAAAAAAATGTACAGGCAATATTTGGCATTATTAAGCATCATAATGATATAAAAAATGACTCTGATATGACAGGGGAATGACATCAATATCTATGACCCCATTTCTATAAAATATATCTCATTTTGGAGAAAGCACAGAGTCAATAAAAAGACAATGTAAAAATCAAATTGCAACAAAAAATGATGTGAGACCAAATTTCCCATAATAAATATCAGCCAATTTTTTTTGCAATGGGGTTGAATGTAAGGATGGGATGTCCATGACCATGTATAAAGCATCTGGGGTGGTATTCACGAAAGGTCTTTGACAATTTTAAGGAGTGTCCAAGAAACAGTCGTGTTAGAATTTGTCTATGACTCATTTTAAAAACTATCCTTATCAATTTCGTCTTTGATTCATGCTGTTGCCACATTTTAAAGTTAATATATAAATAGTATAAACATTCACATCTTAAAAGACCCTATAATAATGTTAATGTAGTAATCAGATTAAGTTACTACTGCAGCGAATCTCAAGTATATAATGACTAAAATATTACCTATTCAGTATCTTTTCTCTGTTTATGTGGCACCCTCAACCTTTGTTATCATTGCATCAGCTGAGAAGGCTGGTGGCACCATTTGTATTTATCTATAAGAAAACTGCAGCAAGCAATTGGGGAGGAAAAGGCTCCATTAACATTTGACAATAAGTAAAAAGGTGACATGAAGGATTTTACTCTTAGCAGGGATTTTAAAAGGTAAAGACATATTAAACTGAAAAATCCAAGCCAAGATTTGGCCACAAAGATTGGAAACCGCATTGCACAAACGAACGAACGAGCAAGCGAACCTGCCCTAAACACACAATCTATCACAAAGATCGCCGTAGGAACCAAAGAACTTCCTAACACAGGGGCTCTACCCCCCAGACCTCCTCCCAATCGTCGTATTTCTCTAATGGGGGCTACGCACCCGTACCACCTCTTTACCTAATCTATCACAGCCTAATCATGAGCATATGCACTTACTTTACTGTGGAGGGTATAGTCACTGAGACACTTTTCACACTTAAATTTTTTTTTAATTAGATAGCACTCTTGGCACTGTAATTAATCTTTGTGTATCTTTACTGTATATGTTAATAAAAACTCCCCAAACCACAAAAGCACAAATGAGAGATACTCCATTCCATGTCTTATGCCCGAAGAAGAAAGAATGACACTGGTCGTGAACCCTTAAAAGCTGGGTCGGACACACATTAAGAACCGGTCATCAAAAGTGGTAATTGAGGGTACTTCAGTGGTAATGAAAAAAACAAAATATGTGTTAAGTAACTAATAATGTAATATAAATCTGCCCATAAATGTTTATGGGCAGATTGTGTATATGGTATAAAGTGAATAATACATAAATGAAAGAAAGAAAGAAAGAAAAAAACAAAGAAAAAAAGAAAAAAAGAAAGAAAGAAAAAAAAGAAAAGAAAGAAAAAGAAAGAAAAAAAAGAAAAAGAAAGAAAAAGAAAGAAAAAGAAAGAAAGAAAAAGAAAGAAAAAGAAAGAAAGAAATCCAACCAGGTAATTTGTAAGATATGAAATAATAATAGTAGTTATCATGACGTTAATGATAGTGATGTCACATGACGTACATTCGCAGTCTTTGAAAGTTGTGCGTCGACTTATACTCGTCAAGTGATTTTGTGATTTAGTGCACAGAAGTGATTCACACAAAGGGACTTAGCCACAGTGAATGCGAGTGGACTCTGCCTCAGTTTGGCATTTGTCACGACCTATTTTTTTCATTTCTGACTTTATTATTTACCTGTGCAGATCATATCATTTATGAGTGAGTGTATTTTTTACATATCTTTATGACAGTGTCCTTAGATTTTCCCTATCTTATCATGGTTATTACATAAAGATATACCGGATATTTTTGCAAGGAGTCATCGACAAAATCTCTGAGCCAATTTTTTTTTTTTATCGAAGATAAACTTTGGAGTCTGTGACTTTTCATGAATACTGCCCCCAGTTCTGGAGACTTATTTGTTTGTGTAAGGGCTACTATAAAAATATAGATAGCTAATAAATGTTTTATTTGTAACAAGAAGTCTATCTGTTCTTCCCAATTCCAGTAGAGATTATCACTACATATTCAAGTAATGAAGATCCAAATACCAAAACCAGTTTAATCTCTATCTCCAGAATATATTATCCTGCAAAGAATTTTTACAAAGGATTAAAAAGATTAGGTCAAAAGAGCTTCTGCATTAAAATCAAAACACTGTTTTCCCTACAATAGTCTGTTGATTTAACCATTGACGCCAGGAGTGTATGTGCACATTTAATAGATAAACATTTTCTGCTGCGTCAACATCTAAGGTCATTGGCAGCGTATTCAAAATATAAGAAGATGAGGCTTAGGGCTAAGCCCCCAGGTAAGGAAAGGTCATACAACACTATGATAAAATATTGTGGCAAAAAGGGTAAAAATGAGTTGATGATTAGGACAAAATATGTTGGATGTAAAAGGTTGTTGAGTACTGTGGGTTAGTATAGTAGTGAAAAGAGTAAAGAGGGAAGAACAGAGTTTAGGACTGACACACAGCTAACCTTTCATCCTTTCAGCATGACTTTCACACTTTAAGATGTGGACAGAAGAAGGGGATGAAGAAGAGAGGGAAAAGGAAAGCAAGAGAAGAAAATACCATGCAAAATTAGTTGAGGCAAGGTAAAAGATCCATGGTAGGGATGGTCCCCTACATTAGGCCTCAGTCTCCGTCTACTAAGCCTCTCCATGACAAAGGAATTGGGGGGCATATGTACATAAAAGGACACTGCTCACAATATACAAAAAAAAGAAGAAAAAAAATTAGCAATCGTTATTATGAAGCATTTTTTCTAATGGTTTGCTTGCCTACCATAACACAGGGCTGCCAGATGGTTAAGTTTCTTATTCTCCCCGAGGAAACACAGTGACCACACATTACTGAACTAATCTCTCATTCTGACAGCAATTCAAGTACTTTTTCTATGGTACAGGTATATTCTGTATATCAAGAGATGTTATGCCCAAACCATGTCTTAGCATGTGATAAAAGAACTGCTAAAATGTAACCTATTCCCCTATTTATCCACAATGCTTCACATTCATAGCATTTCTATTCCTTTTCTGTTACATACGAAGCTCCATAATTTTAAATCAGCTGGAAAATACCAAAAATGTTAAGATGAAAAATGCATATTTCTGAAAATAACAACCAGGTAAATAATGCACCTAGTGGTTGCATGTTCCTTCAAGTATCATGTCCAACTAATCCTATATGAAATATGACAAAGTAAGTTCTGTAAACTGAATTTCAGAAGAAAATAAGGCCTGTGTGTGTGATGAGTCATTATGAATAATAGGAATGATTCACATCCTGCGGTCAACATCTTGAAAGTTGCTGAACTAAAACTAAAATGTCAAATGTTGTCATAGACGTCCTATGATACGGATTATATGTATAAATCAGGCACGAAATACAGAAGGGAAAAGCCCATGAAGTCAATTTAACATTTACTTCTTGCCGATGGTGAAAGAAAGCAGTGTTCCGTTGGTTCAAGGGCGGCCAACCTTCATAATTCGTAATATTTGTTTCGATTCCTAATCATCCTAACTTAGCAGGTGTATACTTACCACCTCCATGCAGGCCTAGGATCAGTAATAAAACCGCAGAAAACATTCCACCGGAGTTGCTGAACACGCCTTTCGATGTAAACATTCCCGACCACAACAACTTTCTGAAGGAGTCTTCTCTCTAGTGAAGCAACACAGCT